TAATCCCCCAGAGTGTTTTTTTTTTTTGCAGCAACCATTAATGGGGGCTTACTAAGTGCCAGGCCCTGGGCTGAGAGGGTTGCATTCATGATCTCTTTTAATCCCCTTACAAATGAACCCTGTAATGCCACCAGACTGGGGAGTTATGATTATCCCCTTCTCACAAAGCAGCCAAAAGTGAAACAAAGAAGTGGGATGTAGTCTGTTTAGATAGAGATCCTCAGAGCTAAGTCTGCTAAAGGTGCACGTGTGAGCACATTACAACCACACAAGGGTGTCGACTGTCCCGGCTTGCCTGGGCCTGAGGGCATTTTCAGGACAGGAGACTTCAGTTTTAAAACCAGGACAGTCCAAGACAAACCAGAACTAGGAAACATTCCATAATCTTTAGGAGTGAAATAGTAAATTGTTGCAACGAAGTAAGGGGATTATATCTACCTCCCATTGGCAATATTATGAAGAGAATTCCAGTGTAGCTCTAAGACGATATGGCTTGAAAATGAGAGCTAAGTGTGTTTCTCAACATGTAGAAATTCTTTTTCATTTCTTCAGCATGTTCTTGAAGAAGTGTGATTTGCAAGTAAGCCACACCTTGGCGGTATCTGCTCTTCCTCCTTTATGTTAATTCCAACTCTGGAAGAAAAGCCCAGATTGATCACCCAGACTGGTACTTTCCCAAGGCCCCGAGGAGTCATCTGTGAAGTATTAGCCTGGCTTCCTAACATTCTTCTATATCTACATTTTAAAAGTTAAAAATGTTAGTCCTGGTTTGCTAGTGCTCAGAAATCCGTTCCTTTTAAGGCAATTTCAAAAGGAGGAAAGGAGACTTTTTATCATATTAGTTGCAGGTGCTGTCTTGTATTATATGTGCCTTTTTTTTTTTTAAGATGGTTAAAGGAGGATGTGCTTTCTGATGAACTGATAAATGTGCGGGTTTCCTGCAGGCAGGGGATCTGGGAATCTCTCACTAAAAAGTAAGCTTTGTAAAACCAGAGGATTTCATAATCGACCCAACTACCCGTGGCTCCCTGCCCCTCCTCCAATACTTGTCCCGATGAATCATCAGGAATGCAGACTGGTTAATTAAGACGTTCTCTATTGTTTGGTTTAAAAAAAAATGGTGGCGACCATTTCTTCTTCCTTCCTAACCTCTGCTTGGCTTTGCTGAAATAAGAGCGGATCCGGCAGGCAGCGGGGCAGCCGACAAAACACATGAACTGCTGTTTTGACTGGCTTTTTGAATGCTTTTCTTTCCCATTACAAATAGCTCCTGCGGGTCTGTCCCCGTAGGTGCTATTTTGGCATTAGCTAGTAAAAAAGCAAGCCGGCAGGGAGTGTATCTTCCAGAATTAATTCCTCACTTGTCCACCACAAAACCCGTCTGGGATGAAAGGCAGCGTCACCTTCTTTCCTGGCTCACTCTGGTTTCTTGGAATCACGTGAGGTCACATATTCATCACTGGAGACTGGAAAGCCACTAGCCGCGATGCTGTGCGAGAGGAATACGAAAGGGCACTGCCGCTTATCAGTATTTTTCACCTATCAACTGGTTTAATAATCAACCTCCCACCCTCAGAAAACCCTGAGGTATCAAACGCGACTGTAGTTAATGAGGCGCTGGGCTGGAAAACAAACTAGTATGGCTCTGGGATGGGGGGCCCTCCCCCAATCCAACGGGGAGGCAGTTGTACTGTGTTGGCAAAAGACAGCCTGGAGGTCGGGAAGGCACAAGTTCAAATCCTGTGTCTTCCTCCCATTTATGAACTGACTCTGGGGAAATTGATGATTCTGAGACTGATTCCTATGCTATGAAAGAAGAAAGAGAATCATATTTTCTAAATAGGAGTATTGAGAGCACTAGATGAAATAATAAAATTATGTTTCAAAAGGGCCTGGCACATCACAGTTAAGTAATACGCAGTATTTTTACCTTGTGGAAGTTCTGCTTATGTGAACACAGACGGAAACCTTGTGGGTGAATGCAGCTCCCTAAAGCCGAAAACAAAAGCAACCAGGATTTGAGCTCTGTTGTCCAAATGAACAAATTGTCACAGTTTCATCTCAGGGGCGAGCCCACCCTGTGTTATTCCTGGATGAAAACAGCCTTACCCAAATCTAGTCCAGCCAAGAATAACTAGACAGGACCTTCTTCCTATTTCTTGAGGTGGTGTTATGTAAATCAGGACCCGAACTTTTATCTGAATAGGTACAAGGGGCTTCGGGGAATTCAATAGCATTTATGAAACCTATTACATACCGGGTAAAAATAAATGTTTTAACAGCAGTAAGAGGTTACAAATTGCAAACAGATGGCCTCATGGAGGGAAAACTGCCACTTCCCCTTCAGCTCCACCACTGCCCTGCCACCTTCCTTCAAAAGGTTTCAACTTAGTCTAATAATCTTAACTGCGCAAGATCTTCCATGGCTTTGTCAGGAAACTAATACCCAACTCTCTGTCTTGAAGGTCAAGGAAACTGACACTTACCAAGCATGACTGTGAGCCAGACACCATGCACGTTCTCACCTCATTTGAGTCTCCAGAGGGTTTGAAATAGGTGTGTTTTACAGTATTTTATAAGAAAACAGAGATCAATCAATCAATCAATCAAGAGTCCCAAAAAAAGATTAAGTGGCAAAACGCCTGGCTGATTCCAAAGTCAGAAGCCCGTGATTGCAGAGAGCTTTGTAGTTTTGAAAATAGATGTGAAATTGAAAATGGTCAAATCTCATAAACTCCATTAGAGAGCATTAGTAAGAGAGCATGACAAAAAGATGAGAAGCATTTATAAAACGCAAGAAATATCAAGGGGTTATTTGCACATCCCATTTTTCAGTCCAAACCCAAGCCCGGGCTCCACACACTGCAATTACTCATCACAGAGTAGAGAACACAGCGGGGAATGGGGGTGGGGGAGGGGGCGTTAGCGGGGACAGTCTGGGACCTAGACTGACAAAGCAAAGGAATCCTAAATCCCCACCTGCAACTTTTATCAATTCTCTCATTTTTCTGGTATTTTTAAAAGTAGCCTATTTGAAAGAAGACAGTAGGTGTGTTTCACTCTGAACTTGGTAAACTGATTTCTCAAAGTCCTTAAAAGAGAAGCTCAAGTTAGTGCCTGGTTTGTATTTACAAAGGTTTTGCTCTTGAACTAATGACCTATTCCGCGAGAATACTCAGATGATTACACGGTAGGGTGTGTTCGGTCAGGTGGCCCATATATTTTCAGCTGTGTAAGAAGTAGGCCTGACCAAGTGACACCTCCATCAGGGAAGGCAGAATCCCCCAGCAACCCTCAGTTCCAAGAAAACACTCCTGGACTTAGAATCAGTGCTTGGGAGAGGAATCCTGCAAAAACAGAAATCTTGTTTTTTGTTTTTTTGGCTTTTTACATCCACTCCCCTATTTTTTGTAATTTTTTTCTTTCACCAAGGTCAGGAGTTGGGGCTGTGAGGCCAGGGAAAGTGGTCATTTTTCAGGCCCCTTTGCTCCCATTTTGTTTCAAAACCACAAGCACCCTTAGGGATGACATGGTCTTTTGATTTCAGACAAGTAACTCCAGCTCACACAGGCCGCCTTGCCCAGGGTCACACAGCTCATTAATGGTTTTGCCTTAAAAGCCCAGTTTAGGATTCCAAAGTGGGGTGCCCCTTGTGCCTCATCATGCCCCATCCCCCAATGCTATTTTCCAGGTATCAGTTAGCTTCCTGGTGCATCATTCCCTCTGACAAAGGTCTGAGGTGTTTGGCAAGATTTTCACCATTTATGCTGCGTCTGCCGTATGGGGTGGGTGTGTGTGTGTTATTCCAAGTGCGGGCAGAACTATTACAGGAGATTAATACACCCAATCACAGCACACTGGGCTTGTGACTGAAGAACTTACCTCATTCATAGCTGTATTGATAGATAAGATAAACGCGTGACTTTTCAAAATACAGATCGAGGTTTTCTTTTAAATAAAAATCCAAGTCAGACTATTTTTAATTCCTAGTAGATTTTGCCAGTCAGTAATTACAATTATATGGACATTAAAATGTAATTCTCAGAAAATGTTATACCTGGAGACTGAATTGTGCCTAAGCCTTCTTGTTTTATTCCTTACATAAGAGCATCAAGGATGTTTTAACAAAACTAACACCAATGGTTCAATTCTGGCTATGCAGAGGCTTAGGGACAAGAGTTGCTCTCCAGGGACCCTCAAATCACATCATGCAGTTTGACCCACCTTTGTGAAGCCAATCTCCCCACTCCTACTCCTGCAAAGCCAAGTCCTTCCCCTGAGGGAACTGGTGGAACTGGTAGGCATTCGGTGGCTTTCTCCGTTGCCTTCACCCCCAGTTCTCCAGCTGTCATCTCCAGTTGTCACCTACCCCCATAGCTCTTTCCTCTTTCCCTCATCTAAGGTAATTTACATTCCAGGATTTCAGCACTCTTTGAGGGCAGGGGTGGGGGAAGATGTAGCTCCTAGATCAAAGCTACAAACCAGGGGTATCTTTTTAGTTCTCACACTCAAACAGGAAGGCACTTGAGTTACACCTACTTCTGCACACGACTAGCTTCAGATGAAGCAATGCTTGCTGCTCAGGGGCTGGAGCAGAGGAAGGGAGAAAGAAGCATGAGGTCACCTAACTGGAAATTGCAGAGCTCCTTTTGCCCAGCCGACAAAGGAACAGCCAAGGACTTGGACTCACACTTCTAATTAGATCATGAATCTCTGGAGGCTATTTTAAATAAATCACTCGCCAGGCATTAATGTAAGGCACTCAGCAGCACTCAAGGCTTTTGCCTGGAATTAATTTCCTATTTTTCACTATTTCCTCTCCCAATTTGAGTGTAAGTCCCTTGACAGCAAAAATCACGTCAAACGTCCCCATTTTCTCCACTGGAACAGAGATGCAGTTGAAAGGTACCTGCTGATGGAAAGCAGTAAAAATATTTTGATTTCATAATGAACACTCAGTATCTTATATGATGAAAAAATAAACACCCAGAAAAGAAAGGTGGTAATTTTTAATAGTTTAAAGCTACAGTATGGTTTTAGATGCATATATATATATGTATAAATACAGTTATAGACCATAAATATCCAGATGGCAAAATACCTGCCTCTAGGCAGACAAAAAAAAAATCTTTGCAACTAAATAAACTAACAGCATTAATACTGAAAAAAAAAACAAAAAACAAAGCTGAGGTAAATTTCATCTAAAGTGACTATAGCCTATATTAAAACACTATTACCCTAAGAGTTCAAGTAGTTATGAAACCCTTGACTCATAATTCCCAAAATGCAACTTTAACACACATTTTCAAATAGACAAAAAATATTTTAATCATAAATAGGTTAAAATAAATAAGATTATTCCTATTGAAATTCAATTAAGACATTATTATTTCTTACTTTACATACTTGGGGGCTTTGTTGTTAGCCTGATCTTTCAATAATAAAACAATGAAATTCAACAAATCCTTCTCAAAATCTACATATTACTCTATGCAACTTGCATTAGAGGAATATGCAGATATTATATATATAGCTATAGATATGTCTATATATATATTTCATGTATATAAATGGGATTTTCATTCTGGATGAGCAATCTGTTCCTCTTTTTTAAAAAAGCATATCCCAGTTATGAAACCCATGCTTAAGTTCTCTCAAAAGGTAACTTCTTATAGGTCATACACTGACTAATATAACAAAGGGCATTTTACAGATTTTAGAAACACATTCATTTTCCTACCAACAGTTACTTCAAAATCCTTAACTAAATTTTACTAAATTTACTAAAATTACAGCAGTAAAAAGCCTAAGTTACTTTTCTTTCATTATTCTGGATAACACAATATCCCTATGCTCACTGTCTTTAAATGTTCAACCTAGAAGAATTTTACTGGTACCAAGTAACACTTCTATACTTCTATCAAATTTGTTCAAAAGTACATACTTTCCAGTTAAAGTCTACAGAAACACATTTAATGAAAGGTCATCTAAAAAGAAGCAATACATTTTGAGTCAAAAGAAACTATCAAATGATTTTATATTTTGTAGTGACCTATAAAATCAACATTCACTATGACATTCAGTGTTCTCAAAATGGAATTTTTTACTTCTAACAAATAATACATATAAACCAAATATACATCGTTCTGGAGTCATCATCCGAAAGTAGAAACAAACTCTGAATATATTCTGTTCCTTGGCCCCTGCCCACAGTCTAACATTTGTCAACTCCTCTAACATTAGGCTGGGCAGCAACCTTCTGCAAAAATGCTAGAATAATTCACTAAGCAAAATTAAATGTATAATTAATTCTCTATTTTCGAAGCTCTTCCATTCTTACTTTAAAATAAGCAAAGTGGTTTTATAATGTTCTCATATCCCAAGAGACTGACTTCTAGGAACCGTCCAACAGAAATTCATTTTTTATGTAATCCATCTTCATTTCCAAACGCATCCGAATGCAAGTGAGAGCTCCTTCCTGTTCTCTCCGTTACAAGGTAATCTCTCTCTAATTGATGAAATTTGCACCTCCTGGGGAACCTTCTATTTTAAAGGAATCTCCTCATTCGAAAACTACTGAAGCAGTCAGGTTCCCAAGCGGAAGAGTTTGGATATCAGATTCAGAAGTTTCTGCCGGAAATTCAGTTTGTCTCCAATCCTTCTGAGCTGAATGGCACACTCAACTGCAAGCTCTGAAAAGGAAAGTAAAAGATTACAATTACACTGACATCATTGAAAATTGCAACCATCAGGAGTTAATCTGCCCATCCCAAGGGCAAATTGAGTATTTATCTCGTGAATCAGTATCTTAACTTTCCATACACCTGTTTTCTGAATTTGAGAAAGGCAACTTTGAAGACATATGTGCATACACACACGACATACACTAACACATTTTGACTCAGACAAAAATAAAAAAGGTAAGGTAAAGAACAGACATTTACTTTGAAAATTTTTGTAAGCAGCATCCTGGATGAAGCAAATGCCTTACTTTCAAATACAGATGTTTGTCACACAGCACAGAGTGGGCATTCTGCCAGCCTCAGATGATGGCGTCTCATTTAAAGTTGGTTGGGGGAACAGAAGTCAAATTCTAAACTCTTACGTTGTTTTCAAGTAGGACTTATTTTTCAAATGGCAAGAATTGGGAGCTCAAATTTCACCCTCTTTAATAGGCAAATGTATTCTTGTTCTAATTTTTAAAACTGAAATTTTATCATAAAAAAACTCATAAAATCTTACTCCAAAAATAAGTCCAAATGCTCTAAGATAATTTAGAAATTTACATTTTACTGGAAACCAAATTCCTCCTACAAACCCAATCTGTACTGATCCATTGCTTTTATGGAGATGAGTGAAACAGAGAATAGGTAACATTTCATTCACATGTTTATTAGTTTTTATAATTGAGAATTGTAATTTACTGAATATTAAGAAAAATGTTTATAATCAAATTTCCAAGTACACGTTTTAAGTATAACTTCATTTGTATTTAGCCAATTGTGGTAATTATTTCACAATATATACATATATCAAATCATTAGGTCCCATACCCAAAACTAACACATTGTTTTATGTTATTTTGATCTCAATTTTTTAAAATATATTACTATGTAATCAACTTTAAGAGGAACTTTCTTCTGTTCCTTATTATTGGGAACTAAATTGGGTGGGTGAAGATTATGCACAGGTTAGATCTTTTGTAAACATGGTCAGAACTGTAGGACATCACAAAAGGTGAACAAAGCTTTTCTCCTCCCAGGCAAGAGCCAGAAAGAGCAACCTAGTGCCAACTCAAGGCATGGCCACATGGGCCGTGCACCACTTCCTTTATGCACGCCCCATGGGCCCTAAAATGAAACTAAACTTAAAAGGGGCCTATTACCGTCTGATGTAACAGCAGTACAGCCCACAAGGATTCCGAGCCCAGAGTCTTAACTGCCTTCTTTGCTACAGCCCCTTAGCAGATGGCTGCCTTGTTTGATAAGATTTACAAAGGGTGGGGAGGCTCTGACCTGAAGTTATTTGATGGGGCTATATGTGTGGAGAGGAATGTATAGATTAATAACACGGCGAACCAATTCTTGTTCTTCCATCTCATCTCCGTAACTAACATCGACTGTTAAAATGTTTTAACAAGAAGCAAGACTTTCTAGGCTCTTGACCCGTGTCCTCGCAGGCTCTCCATCAGTCCTTTGTGGAAGATCTGTGTTAGTATCAAGCGTTATTACTGTTTTTGCCCGTGTTGGGGGCAGAGTGGGTGCACACAGCGGCCCTCAAAGGTCCGCGCCTGCGGGGGATGAGGGCCCGTCTCGGTCAGCGCGGGGAGGCCAGGCGGCCGCAGGCGCCGCTCCCGTCCCCACCTGACGTGACAGTGACTTTCTCCTGGTGACTGTTACCCACACTTGTACTTTTTCGCCCCGTGGCCCCGAGGGGTTGAAAGGCAAGCGAAGGAGAAGAGTTTCGTGCATCCGTTAAAATCCCAATCTGTATCCCGATCCCAAACTAGGCTACCTCCGCCGCTGTTCCACAGACCTGGGCAAAACCCCAGAATTTTCTGGAGGCGCCCCCGAAGCACGTACCAGGGCGCAGACCTGGCCCGACCTTGCGGCCCTGCGCAGGCTGGCTGAGCCCACGCAGACCGAGACCGAGACCCCGGCCCCCGCCCCGGCCAGGATCTCCGCGGGCCCCAGCGGCTCCCTACCTGCCGGGGCCCGCGAAGGGCTCGGCTGCGCGTTCTTACGCGCCTTCTTCCCAGGCATCTCCGCAAGACCGGACGGGGGCTCCGCGACAGTACCCCAGTGATCTCAGGGCCCGGGTTCGAGCGCCTCGGGTCTGCTGCCGCGAGCTGCACGCGGGAAGCACTGGCCGGAGCGGGCGGGCGGAGCGCAAGGGAGACACGATTCGCAGCGCGCCAGACACCCTCTGCAGTCCGGGCACCAAGGCGGGCCCGCGCTCGGATCTTATGGGGACTTCCCTGTGACGCAGGGAAACCTGACTCCGGGCCCGCCCCCGAGGCCTCGGTGAGGGGAGCGCGCCCCGCCCGCCGGGGAACCCCGCGCCGCCCTGCGACCTGCCCGGACACGCTCCCGCCCTGCGACGGCGCCGCCCCGCGGTGGGGGGGCGCAGGGCGCTCGGCGGGCGAGACCTTACCCAGCCCGAAATTACTTCCTGCACAAAGTGGGGTGGGGTGGGGTGGGGTGGGGGGTCGGCACCGAGAATCCGCCCGCCGCCACCACCACGTGGAGCTGCTGCGGTGGTGGCGGAGTCTAGGAGGCGCGGGAGGGAACAGGTTCTCGTAGCCGGAAAGGCGCGGGTGGGAAGGGCAGGAGCCGGGTCCTTATCGTAAATGGGCAATTAGAGACTAATGTAAACAAACCCCGGAAAGAGTTTGGGAAAACAAGGTTTGCAAACTCGGAGAGTGTAGTCCTTCCAGAAGTGAAGTTCTAGGCCCCGGTCTGGACTGTGATTTTCAAAGTACAGCATCTTTCCTCTGGGTAGATCGTTAAGTGCTCGTTCCGGACGCTTGTAACTCAGAAGAGAGTAAGGTCATCCTACAGAAAATTTACAAACGCTATCGTGATGGAGGAATGAGGTGCCTGGGAATATGAAGTTATTTGCACGATGTTTGGCTGGCTCTTGAATAATTCCATTGTTATAAAGGGAAGGAGTAATTCGGTCTGGTTAACAGATGCTGAGGGCCGATTCATGCTGGCAGCTTTTAGCAGGCATTTTCTCATTCTGTCCTCAGCTGGCACTCTAACCGCCATGGCCGTTTTACAGGTGTGAAAACGGGGTTATACAGATTAAGTGAATTGCCCAAGCGCACACCGGCAGAGAGCACTGCTAAGCTTAAGACTCAGGCAGGCCCACAGGAAGCAAGAACTCTTACCCGCCGCGGCCTTCTCAGTCATCAGTTTCTTAGAAAACGAGTGTTCTTATATTATCTGCGCTATTTAATGCAGAGGTTGCAAATTGGCTGCTTAAAGCTGCGCGGCTTCCTAGGAGCGTGTCGTTTAGGTCACAGTATTGGTCGGCAAAATCTCTTGTGAAAATTCGGATTGGTTACCAACATTTAAAACGAGAGGGTGCACTGTACAAGCCCCGATTTCTGGCGTCCTCTGGAAAATCAGAAGCTCTGACGACCCGCCGAGCCGTTTTCCCATCACGCAGAGCCGGGAGACCTTGGGCGGGGGCTGGGCTAGCCGCACTCCCCGCTGTTGCTTTTCTCATTTACATCATCTGGCCCCAGTAGGCATGTGAGCTTGTTTGTTTACTTTAAATCACTCAATCAACACAAACCTCCAAGTATTTATTTATGGATTGGTTGTGTGCGCAGAAGTGCACACAATGCTCTAAGCATGGAACCAAACCACTTTTCATTTTGAACGACTTAGGCTTGAGTATGGTAAATATATAGGGATAAGTGTGGGCAGAAATCCCGAGTTACCACCGCAAGACACAGGAAGCAGGGCAGAGATGCGGCCCTAAATGTTATCTCCAGCCCAGTGTCCCAAACCACTGGGGCCCTCCTGAGGCTCCTTTTGACTGGCTTAATAGGTGAGGAACACCATTAACTTCCTGACTGGGAGAATTAGTAAACTTCTGAGGAAAATCATGCACCCTGAAATGCAATGAATACATTCAACAAAAGAAAAACAAATTATATCATTGTTTACCTAAAAAGGATGTGTAAAGCCTCCTCTAACATTATCATTACAAAGGGGTGTTGGCCAGGTGACCCAGACTAGCTACAAACCCTACGCAAATGTGCCTTTTAGGGAATTGTAAATTCAACTTGCTGGAAGGTGGGAAGAAGGGGCAGGTGGGCTTCAAAGATGGATCAAATAAGTCATTCATGGAGGACTTTTTGGAATTGGGGGTTTGAGATGGTCCGTAAACTCTTTTTCAGATTTAACATACTACTAAGAGCATTAGAAGCTGAGTATGAAAAGTCTTTCTTAACTGGATATGTCTCTGGAAAAGCGATGTATCATTTAATGCAAGCTTGCAGGAAATATGAACATATTTTGACTACTGGGACTGACAAAATAATTGTCACGAAGCATTAGAATCCCCTATGATCTGTTTAAAAAAAAAAAGGACTAGTGAGGACAGTTGTTAAACTGTCACCAGGTATCGTTTTTCATGGACCACGTTCAAAAATCACAGGACAAATCTGGCAAACCTGTGCTGTCAGTTAGTGTTAAAAAAATTACTAAAACAAATCAAAACAAAATAGCAAACATGATTAGTAATAGAACAGTCATTCATATATTTCATGCAGAAAGTAGGATTTGACAGGAAAACGAGAGGATATGAAATGAGCAAGGGGAATTTAAAGGAAGCCTGTGACAGTACATAGGCTGTAGACCTGAATCTGTTCATTCCGATAAAAGGGGACTTGTTTTTTTTTCCTGTATAGCGTGTTTGTTAACACAAAATCAGCCTGATGTATTCATCAGTTAAATCTCTTTATTTTTAAGACAAACACTGCTAAGCTCTGGGAAGACAATGCTCCCCAGCCCCATGGGACCAGTAACTCACAATTGAATGTGCATAAGAATCACTTGAGTATCTTGTTAAAATGCACATCTGATTGTGGAGATCTGGCTGCGCTCGAGATTCTGCATCTTACATAAACTCTGACAACGCTGGTCCTTCTGTTATGGATGTCACTTCGAATAGCAAGGCTGTAGGGTGATACAATACGCACACGCAGGTGCAGTGAGCAGTGCGTCAGCGCCGCACCAGGCCCATTAAGGGGCTGCCTGGGAGGGCAATTAAGTAGGAAGGGACATCTGCATAGAGACCTGAAGCATAAACAGAAGGTGGTCACGCAATGAGGCCAAAGGGATGAAGTAGGTGCCACGCAGAGACTGAAGGGCAGTGTGAAGCAGGGAGTGGAGAAGAAGCCGCTGAAGAGTTTGTGTATGACTGGGGTGACAATGGGGGAACCGCTGAAGGTTTTAAGCTTGTGGGTGAAATGATCAGATTCAAGAAGGCTTAGTCTGGCTGCAGTGTGACTAGATACTTAGAGCTAAGACTGGAGACAGTGACTTACGAAGATGTTTGTCATGGTAATTCTCATACAGGGTGGCAGTGTCAGCCAAGACTTGTCACTATTTTAATCCCTGTCTTATTAGAATTCCCCTGTTTCCTGATGAAGATAGGACCACATTCTATTAGAGGAAGACTTGATACTTTTCAGCGTAACTATAACTGACCTTTTTCTCTTAATATTAGTTTCCTAAGGCTGCCATAATGAACTACCACAAACTGAGAGGTTTCAAACAATAGAAATGTATTCCTGCATGGTTATGGAGGCTGGAAGTCTGAAATCAAAGTCTGGTGTGGACAGAGCCACACCATCTCTGAAGACTTTGGGGGAGGAGTCCTACCTAACATCTAATTCCTGGGGTTTCCTGCAATCCTTGGCACTCCTTCAGGAACAGATGTGTCACTCCAGCCTCGGCCTCAGCCTTTACAAGGCCTTCTCCCCTGTGGGTCTGTGTCCAAATTTCCCTCTTCTTACAAGGACATCAGTCACTGGATTAGGGCCCTCCCCAATCCAGTGAGACCTTGTTTTAACTTGATCACATGTGCAAAGACCCTATTGCTAAATAAGGTCACAGTCATAGGTTGGGGTGGGGGCAAATGGGTGCTGGGACTTCAACATACCTTTTTGAAGGACACAGATCTACCCACAACATCTCCTTTTATCAACTGCTTCTTTTTAAAGAAAGTTCTAAATAAACATTTTTTATCATATTTGCAATTTGCCCATTTTACAAACCAAAAGGCCCTTCCTAAACTTGACATTGGATTTAAGCAGTATATAAATAAAGCTCAAGAGCAGTAGAGATAAGATAAGAAATAAGATGACTTCTGACAGAATGGGTTTAGAACATCTGCCAGCCCAGGAATCATGTGTACCCTGCACATTCCTAGTTGAACACTGTAGTGTGACCCCCACCTGAACTTCCCACTCACAAGGTCAAATACATTTGAAATAAATGTTTTGCTGGAACTTGAAAGTCAATGTAATTTCTAATAGTGCAGCATATAAGCACACATTATAAACTGTGAAAAACAGAGGAAAAATATTTTGAAATCTTCCAGTTTCTATTCTTCATTTTATCTTCTTTCTTTACCCATTTTTTTCTGGATTATCACAGATGGTGGTCATCAAGCATGTTTGCACTTTTTTTAACTGCAAAGATTCCAGAAGAGATACAGGCAGCAGTATTATGGTTCAACTGGCATCAGTGAACAATGGAATATAGGTCAGGACTGCTACCTATTTAAGTTACTGAATTACTGACTTTCAACAAGAGAAGAAGTCCAATGAGTTTAGAGGATTTAATCAAAGAAACTATTAGTAAATGCCGTGTTTATTTTTAGGCAGTTTTTTAATAACTACTGGGAAAGTAATTCAATCTTGTGTGAGAGTAGAAACCAACGATTGTCCAAGTGTAATCCGTGTAAATACAACCTGAGAATCAAGTGACCAGCTTATTTTAAATGTAGGAGTGATTTCAGACTTGTGAACCACAGTCGATAGAGCCCTCATCTGGAAATACTCATTTTACAAGCTTCTAAGGCAACATCAAACATCAGTAACACTAACAGAGAAGTTGCAAAGGCACTTACAAAATGATACCTGACCATAACTAGCTTATGGTCTAATTAAAGAAATAAATACACATGCATCAGAAGCCATTAATTGAAAATAAATTCTAATTTCTTGTGAAATCACGTGACACGTGGAAATATTTTTATGAGACAGTTAAGTGGAAATCATTTGTGTCTTGCATACCTTCTGGATGAGTATCATATATTTCACAATTTACACAATCTATGTAGGGGAAGGAAAATCAAAAGGCCTGTTAACCACCCTCAGGAGACAAAAGATGCCTGCACCTCCAGGATAAAAAGGCTTAGGGGAAAAAAGATAAAAACACTAATAATTCATACACAATTCACCCA